CATTTGATGATTACAGGCCAGCATGCACTCACATTTGTTCGAGGCATCGTGTATAGCATTCAAAAAGCATTCAGAGATCGAGCAACAGCACAACAGGAGAAATTATTCCGTTGTTTGTCCCATCTCCATATATGCATTGTAGAGTTCATACGCATCTTTCATGAATGGCCTTGGCCACTTGCGGGCATGCTGATGTATGGGACCAAAGGTGCAGCTGCCTCGCTTTTCTATGCAGTTGCAGCTGCACGCACTGTGGCTTCGTCAGTAATGAGTGCATGCTCTGAAAACAGTACTGTTGCAGCCGTTCAAGGATCAGGTTGCAGGGGTTCACGCGAGCGATCGTGAATCATCATGGCTATCGTGCCTGTAGCGGAGCCGGCCGCTTCGGATAATCAGGGTTCTTGGTGGGCAGGGCTCCACGAAGAGTGGGAGAACACCCCGCTCTTGAGGGAACGCATGCGCAAGGGATTGCATCTGCTGATTCCGCATCCTCTTTGCAAGGATGATAGTAAGCCATCGCCTGATTTTGTGGAACGTTCGGTGCACAATTGCCGGCAAAACAAAGATGTGTTGATTCCGGCGATGAAGCGCTGGGCGGCCCACGGCCCAGAGACTGTGCCACAGGTAGACTGCCTTTATCATGAGGTGGAAAAGCTCTTCCAGACTTGTTACCGGGAAGACTTGACCCCTGGCGACACACACATGGATGCCTGGACGCTGCGAAAACTCATGACATTGGTCAAGTCCTTGCTATCAAAGAACAACCCACCCAGAGTATCTTGTCTACAATATAGAATATATCCAGTTCACGGTAGCATGAGCCCTTGCCTTGCACAATCGTAGCTTGTGTGACCCAAGGATGCGATAATGGCCGAGATTTTCCTTGCCTTTGGCTATGAAATAACGGTCCGAGAGCATCTCGAACCATCCGAAGAGCCCGAGGTAGGAGGGGTTGGGGCATAGTAAGCTCTTTCGCGCATCCTATCCTTTTCCTTTCTCACGCCGCAACGCAGGTGCTGGAGCCGGCGCCCGTGGACCTCATGGATGTGCAGGAGGAGCATTCTGAGTCAGAGGATGAACGGGAAGAGGATGCTTTGATGGATGCTGGGGATATTGGGGGGGATGGGCTCCCTCTTGATACCCTCCCTTTGGGCGAGGCCTCCAAGATTGCTTCTGAGCGGCGGGAAGGCCGCCCCGTTGCCACGCCGCAGATGCGGTCCTGCAATCCACCCCAGGTTGAAGTTCCCCCTGCTCCGGTCGCGACTCAGTCCTACGAGCATCTGGGATCTTTGTCTTCGCTGTGCGATGCTTTTGATGGCAATTTACATATCGGCGAGACTGATGCCCCAGAGGATTCATAGTAAATTGTTAAATCATAAAATGCAGTTGGGATGCATGCTGGATTCTACACTAGCTGCGTGATCGCAGGAGTCTTTGGATGGCGAGTGCATTGCTATTTCAGATGAAGAGGAAGCCCCTCCGATCAACCCGGAAAAGGATGTACTTCTACGTCGATTGCATGAACTACAGAAATGCCATGAAGCTGCCCTTCGACTTCGTGCAACTCCCCCGACGGATACCTTGCCTTCTGTTCCTGCTCCCCCATTAAGCTTGACAGGTTCTGCGATGGACGCCGCTGAAACCCAGATCCAACTTGAAGAGCCTCTGGAGCTCTCTGAGGAAAAAGTGTCGGGGCTTCTTGAGCCCACTGAGGACGAGCCTGCGGAGGCTCCAGAGCCCATCGAGGAAAAGCCATCGGAGGAGCCTCCAGAGCCCATCGAGGAGAAGCCATCGGAGGAGCCGGTCGAGGATGCGCTCCTGTCAGCAACTTGCCAAAAATTATGCATGTTGCAATGGTCGTAGACTACCGATACACTTCTGAGCAAACTATCAAGTGTTGGCTGAGGGTCTTCCCGATCTTGGTGTTTGGGATGGTGTGTCACGGAGGGACCAGCACTCGATGGTGGCAGCTCGGAAAGAGGCCAGGGCAGCCAAGAGGAGCAAGAAGAACGAGGGCGATGCAGGCGAAACCAAAGTGCTTTGTCTCCACAATTTACTCCAATACACAACTTGTCACAGCGGTGAGTAGTTGCTTGCATGTACCGAACCGAACCAATGGATGGCAGCCATAACCCATATCATGCATCCCAGGTAAAATCGATTCTCAAGAAGGGGAAGAGCCTTCGGCGCATCAAGGGTATTAAGAAGCGACTTGGGAAGGCTAAGCTATCCAAGCGGGCCAAGGCGGCCAAGGGAACGACCTTGGCTTCTGAGCCGGTTCTTGAGGAGCCTCTGAGTACGTCTTCTACGAAGAATCCTTGCCCCAAGCCTGCAGCGAAGCCCAAGAACCCGGGCAGGGCAAAGAGTGCCCCGAAGCCAAAGGCCAAGAGTTCCCCGAAGCCGAAGGCCAAGAGTTCCCCGAAGCCGAAGGCCAAGAGTTCCCCGAAGGCCAAGAGTTCCCCCAAGCGAAAGGCCGCCCCGAAGCCTGTCGCGAAAGCAAAGGCAAAACCCTCAGCAAACCCAAAAGCCAAACCTTCCAAGAGAAAGGCCGCAGAGATGGAGTCAAGTGCAATTACCTGCAAGGGCCGGGGCAGGGGTGGCAAAGGCCGTGCCAGTCCTGCAGCTGCCGTTGAAGATGCCCCAAGTGCGCACCAGCCTGACCGAAGCAAGGTTGCGATTCTGTCTCAGTACCTGACACAGTTTGGTAAGATGCCTTACGAAGCGACCGGCTTGGAGCTTCACAAGCGCAAGTGGAACAAGAACCTGAAAATCAACGTCTACTGGTCCAGGGACGCTTGCGGGGTGAAACTCAAAAAGGATGGCGAGGGCGAGAAGGTCAGCGAGGTTGTCTACTTTTCGAGAGCATCATGCCCCACAGCTACGATTGCAACGCACATCCAGCTTTCGATTTGGGTGGTCGCATCCTGATTTGCTACCAACATGTCCACATTACACACGCAATGTCAGCAGCAAACTTTCCATGGTTCACATTCTGAACCTAGGCTGAAAAGCTCCATGAGGATAACGACTTCCTGGATAGCGAGGCTGGCCAGGCCTATGTTGGGATGCTGAAGGCATCCATGGCAGCAGCTTGGCAGAGCTACGACGCCACGCCGTGATGATCGGCTTCATCTCTTTACCTTGATTCCGCTGGATTCCGGTAGATGCCCATGTGCGATCATGTTATTTAAAGAATACAGCGGTATATTCAGTCTACAGCAGCTAGCTGCATAGCATCGAATTTCAAGCAATGCTGTTTCTGGATCGATCCATTGGGCCCACGGAACCTTTTTTGGATGGGTGTATCTCAGCTTCGTCTGCAGATATAATTACAGGGGCTGCACAAGCACCTGTTTCATGAAACGGGTGGTAGTGTTGCAGTGCAAGCATGGCTGCCCAGCAGCTACGAGCTCAGATCATTGCCGCTACAGGGGTGCAAAAAGATATGCGGGGCACTCTTTGCATGCATGCATTAATGTACACACGAATAATTCAATTGCCCTCTTCCCTTGCCGCCAGGTCATCAAGCTCTGCAAGAGCCGACTGCGGGGTCTGGCCCTCGCTGCCCGTGCTGGCCGCTTTACCGGCCGCCGTGGTCCTGCCTCGGTTAAGGGTTCCAGTTGGGCTTTATTTCCGAATGTTTTGCAAGCTAGGGTGGCTGCTGTGATTGATGCAACATTGTGCCGGCTCAAATCCTTCAGGTGCTTCTTTAGGCTTGCTTTGTTGCCCTGGGATTCCCCTGTGCCGATTAGACTGGGAACGATGCTTTCGGAGAGAGATGTAGATGTGTTGGTGTTGCGGTTGTCGCGTCTGCAAGCTCCAAAAGCCGCTTGTCCAGTCCAATTGTAGAATATGTGAAAGGCATTTGAATAATCCCTGGGGGCCCCGGCTTCGGATTGTGCCCGAGGCTTTTGTGTTCCTGGTGATATTGGTGGCCTTCACAGACTGTGCCAGGATGCCCCACAAGGCGCAATGGCAATGGCTGCAATACTTGTGCATGATAAGAAGTCTCTAGAAGCCTTCTAGTACACAGCCCGGCATAGCCCATTGTATAAATTCCTCGCACTCGACAGGCTTTCAACTTCATCGAGCTCTTCGCTGGCCAAGGCAACTGTTCCAGAATGTTTCGGTATGCTAAGGTTTCAGCAGCTTCGGTCGACATAAAGTATGCCAAGCATCTGCTAGAAACTTGTGGCGATGAAAATCCCATGGACATCAGCACCTGTGCAGGATTTGCGTTCCCAGGCTCGTTGAGCACTGTTCGGTTGTCCTAATTTAGGCATAAAGGCCTGGAGTATTAATCCCAGTCTATAGAGCTCACTCAGGCTATGTGTCTGGATGATACTACATGCCGACCCCGGCCGCTTCTTTGTGGTCATTGCCATGGTGTGCACATCTTTTACAACGATCAATATGGCAACTAATGCGAGGAGTGCCTTAACCCCGTACGGCAATGAATCCCATGCCTATGTCCGACAAGGCAACACTTTCATGGAACGGAACCTAGCCTGCATTGTGCTGCTTTTGAAACAAATCCCATAGCAGCCAACTGCTGTCTCTAAACCAACCTTACAACCCTATAAACCTTACACCCCTATATTATATATATATATATAATAGACAGAGAGAGATAGGGAGAGAGAGAGAGAGAGAGACAGAGAGAGAGAGAGAGAGTGCAAAAGAGAAACAAATTATGCAGGAAAGAGACCGAAAGATAGAGTCATAGACCTTTAGATATATCTGATGAGAGGTAAGCAGCACGAGACAAGTGTGTGTGTGTGTGCATGTGCATATATAATAGTACATCATCCCCGCACCCCACTACACAAACAAAACTTGAAGCCCTCGATTCTTAAAACCTCGGCTGAGTAGTGGGGTCTTGATATAATAGATGTATATACCAGTCCTCTAGTTGCGATTCCATCCAGCCGTGCTGTGGATCAGGGCCCAGGGTTTTGCTGTTATTCGGATCCCTTGGGGCTTGATGCTTCCGGATTTAGATTGCGCAGGTTCGAAATTTATATAGCTCAAAGGGCATCTCCCACGCACACTACAGATATAGGTTCGAAGCCACATTTTGGGTATTGGGGGCTTCTTCGTGGAGATTCTGGCACGTTGTGAAATATGGCTTTGGAATCTACGGTTTTCGTTTTGCGGGGCGGTTCTGCCAGGGCTTGGGTTTTAAGTTGCTTTTGGGGACTGTTGTGTTCGGTCTTCATTCTTGGGGCACCATTGCTTTTCTCTCTCCCTTTCTTCCTCTCTCTCTCTCTCGCTATTTGATTCTTGTCTTCGTTCTCTATCTCTCTCTCTTTCTCTTATCTCTATCACTCTCCCTCCCTCCTTCCTTCCGTCTCTATCTACGTCTGTCTGTCTGTCTCTCTCTCTCTCTCTCTCCCTCACTGTGTCTCTCGCTCTCTCTCTCTCTCTCTCTGTCTCTCTCTCTCTCTATCTCTATCTCTCTCTCTCTCTCCCTCTCTGCCCGCTTCCCTCTTCTGCGCATGCAGTCTGAGGGTGGCCTTACTATGCCTTTTGATCGTGGTTCGGGGCGGCTCCTGGTTCCTGGAGCAGCCTGCATCATCGCGGATCACTTGGCACCCTGCGATGGAATTTCTGAAATTCCACACAAGGTTGCCAGTGGCTTGTACTGAACAAAACCCAAACCCCAGTCCCTATACTGCACTAATTAAAATATAATCCTGAACCTTAAGATGCCATGCAACACTTAGGTCTACGAAGTTCACTGGTGGATGATGAAGTATTTCTCTCCGACCCCGAAAAGAAGCATGGCATTCTCCAACAACCCTTGGTGTACGATGTTAGATCAAGGTAAGCTTCGACAAGATGAGAAGGAGGCCCTCACCACCTCTCGTACATCTACTACATCAATTCACTACACCGGTGATGATGGACTTGATCGTTATTCGGGGACCTCTGCAATCAAAGACACCCAGCCCCTCTCTCGCATAATAAGTGGGTTTGCTGAAAATACCCTGACCCTCTGTGTGCTATCCCAGGATCTATCCAGTGCCCTTCGCGCTCCAGTTGCTGCTGCTCGCGCCGCAGCTCCTGACCGGAGGAGAGGGCATGCCAACGATGTCGTCTGAAGAAGAGACGCAATTAGATGCAAAGCAAGTATTTACTTCTATGAGTTTCGATGACACGCTGGGTCTCTGGTCCCGTGCAGGCCTAGTAGAGGCTTGTCATTATGTGCGGGGTGGCAAAGCCCTTGGTTGCCCAGCTGGCTGGAAGGCTGTGTTCCCCAGAGCATTGTAGTGGTATATATCCATTGCCATATAGATTATGGGCCCCATAGAAAACGATCATATAGGATATAAACTAGTCTTAAATCACAAAAAAATGCTCCTTGAAGCCTTTCCGGACTAGAGTTGGCAAGTACCATAGAGTGGCCGAGGCCAGATCCAAAAAAAGCCGAAATCACCCCGGAACCTTCCGAAAGAATTCCAAGAAAACCCGAAACCCGAAACTCCGAACCCAATTCCAAAAAAAACCGTAAAGCGTAACAACTCCGAAAAAGCCCAGGATGTTTCCAAAACTTCCCGGGGTAAAAGCGTAACAGGGATTCCAAAACCTCCCGGGATAATTCCGAAAACACCCGAAACCATATGTTCGCAAAACCCACTCCTAACCATTCCCAAACTCCCCAATTCTCGGTCACTTTGCGCTTCAGATTGCAGTTTTGGATCCCTTTTGGGAGCCAGCGGCTCCTCTCCGACCGTGGCCAGCATGGCGACTCAGCCCCGGAGCCTCCAGTCCAGGACGTGGTCTTGTTCAGCTTTAACACGTGGCGTGAGCCACGTAGTCAAGGCTGCAGCAGGTGTTAAAGTGGAGCCGGAGCAAGACATGGAGGAGAACTATGCGAGCATGGACGCCGAGATGTTGAAACAACAGATCATAGATACTCAGCTGATGAAATATTATGGCCTCGCCACACGTGCCCTGCAACCGAAATCAGAATACTGGTCCTTGAACCTAACTCAGGAAACCAACAAAGCGTTGGAGATGCTGCAAGAACAAGAGGAGTGCTTGCTGCTAGTGCACTTTGGTGAATCTGGGTGTGCATCTTGATGTGTCTGCAGGCTGGAAGGAAACTTCTCGATGCTGCCCAACTGGCCCAGCCTGTTGCTCCTGTGTTCGAGGCCTATGGTACCCTAACCCCGACTACCTAAACCCAGCCTGTCATTCTGCAGGAGCCACCGGAGCATGTGCCAGAACCTCCTCAGAAGGCGGGGTTGGGTGTCCGCAGCACATGTCGAGAGCAAAATTTCTTGTTGTTCTCTATTCGGAGGCTGCTGTGGCCGAAGAAGATCGAGCTGCTACTGTGGCCGAAGGCGATCGGGCTGCTACTGTGGCCGAAGACGAGCGGGATGCTCTGCTCCGGAAGCTGCTGGCTGAGAATGAAGCACTAAAGCAAGCTTTGGGTTCTCGGGGTGTGCCGGCCCTTGCTACCCCGGTTCGACCCTCAGCACGAAATATGACTCCGAGCCCCAACCCCGTGACCGTGACAGCGACCCCGAGCCCAGCAAGTACGACTTCGACGCCGCCCCCAACGAACGCTTCATCAGTTGCAACCCCGAGCCCGAGCGCAACAGCGCCCCCAGCCGAGACTTCAGCGGATCCAGATGAAGCTAAAGCAGATGCAATCATTCAGAGACTTCTCAAGTCGCAAGACCAGCAACAGATGGAGGAGAAGTATGATGCATCGGGGAAGGACGGGCTTATATTATAATCGTTAGACTGGTTATTGTCGCTTATATTATAGTAGTTTAGATCTATATTAGTTCATCAGCGACTATATACTGCTGGCTCCGGGGGGGTGGGGGTGACTTCAGGCCCCTGTCTTAAATCCTTATAACACCCTTTATAGTAACCCTTTCAAAGGAACCCTACAAGGAACCCCAAAACCCTATATATTCTGAATGTTTAAGACCCCTATAGGGCTTAGGGCTATATGGCTTAGGGTACATTCATATTATACACCCTGAACCCTTATAAACCCTAAGCCCCTAAACCCTAAACCCTTCAGGGTTTACGGTTTATAGGTTGCTTTAAGCGACTGGTTCAAGGGCACGGATGCTTTCGAGTTCCCGATCCCCTGAAGCCCTGAACGCCCCTATAGCCTTAACCCACAATCCCCGGTTTAGGGTCTATAGGGTTTGGGGTTTAGGGTTTTGGGTTTATAGGGTTCAGGGTTTATGGGTTTAGGGTAGGGTCATGCCCAGATATACATGCATGTGTATACATGTTCTCACACACACACACATGTGCATGCACACGTGCAATATATACATGTACACACATACACATCCCCCACACATCCCCCCCCCCACACACGCACACGCAAACGCACACACACACACACACTTACTTGCGCACCTGCACCGACGCTCGTGCTCCATCTCTCTCTCTCTCTCTCTCACGCTCTCTCTCTTCTTCTTCTCCGGAGCATGTATTTGTCTCTCTATTTCGGTCTCTATCAAGATCATAATTTGCGCAAACGGCAGTGCTCTTCTGTAGGAGCTGAGTGACAAAGCCGTTGACGCCCGCCTCCGTCGAATGTGTGAAGTGAAGGCCAAGACCAGGAGGTGCAATGTGCCAGCTTGGATCGCCGAGCAATGGAGGGACCTCGATAAGAGGGAGAGTCTTCGATTGTGCCTTCTGGAAACAATCAAAGAAGTTGGGACCCACAGTGATGCTGAGACTCGAAAGAAGCTGAAGGTACGGGGCTCCAAAATATTGAACGGTCTCTGCATGATTGTTGTCGGACTCATGAGCATACACACTTGCTTGTCGTGTTGCAACCCATGCAGGCCAGGTTCGTGACACGAGTCACGATACGTACGAGGGAGACCACACAAGAAATTAAAGGAGCCTGGTGCACGGAAGAGAAGCTCAAAACGGAGATGAAGTACTCCAAGCCTCTAGTCATTACAAGAGATGCCATGGTCATATCATGCAACATCATCCCACAACCTTCAGACTGCGATGTTTGCAGCCAAGGCAGCTGGTGCAGAAGATTGTCGCGTACTGTCGCCGATTTCCTAAGCTTTTGGTGAGGCACAATCACACATGGGATACGTGTATATAAATAGTGCAGCTTCTTGTGCATGCACATATGCAGGCCGTACAAGTACGACCCCAGCATCGAGGAGTATTTCGTGGAGGTTTCTGATACGCAAACCCTGCGACAAAGCGAGCTGGAGCAACTTCAGCAAAACGAAGAGCTGGGAGACGATGCTCTGCTTCAATATTCCATTATACCCTAGAACATTCATCCCAGAATCTTATCTTAGATGCTTGAAACAGATGGTCCCTTTTTTTGCCTCGTTCTAGAATGAACTTTGTGTCCTAAGGGCGAGGGTGCTGAAGCGGCATTCGACGATATGAAGCTGGACAATGTCGTGGCATTGTCCTTCCGGGCTGCAAGTGCTCTTCCTGAAGGGGCCCCCCCGAAAGGAGCAAATCATGAGGTGGGGTGTTCACTACAAGCAGATTATCCGCAACCTTTATAAATAAAACTAAACCCTATAAACCCCAAAATTCTGTCCCAGGTCGAACTAGATATCAAGAAGTTCATGACGGCCCTCACTGCGAAACATTCTCTGCTTGTGTCCTGGGTATCCCAGCTCGAGGGTTCCACCACGGAACGTGTGTCGCAGCTATTCGTCCAATAAGATTCGTTCAAGTTCTGACTGATGTCAATGTTTGTGGCACACTAGAACGTGTCAGGTTCAGGACGCAGCTGCATGCCCTCAACCACACATTGGATGAATGCAATGAAGAGTTGGCTGATCAATTGCATTCGGCCGAGATGAATGATTGTACGATGGATGAGCCTCTCGACTGAATTATCCCCGATGAAACCTCACGACCCATAGGATTGAATAGTTCGTGCAGGTTGCTGCAGAAGGTCGCGGCCACGAAGGCCAAAGCACGTGGACCGTATCCTGGCTGCATTGTACCTTGGATGTCCCGCTGCTCTATGAGTCGCCCATGAGGTGTGCCAAGCTGACTGCGAAAGAGAACTCTTTCAAGTCTGAAGCTTACAATAGAGTCGTCCATGAAAGGTCTTTATCATATTTATCTTTGCATTTGAATCGCCATGAAAACTTAGGGTTACTCTGGCCGAGCACAAGAAGTACCAGAAGGAGAATGGTATCACGACGGACGTGCCCAACGGGCCCAAGGCTACTTCTGAGAAGCCTGGCAAATCTGTGAGGCGTAAGAATAAGAGGGGAACCGCGGCAGTCGAAACTGCTGTAGAACCCCCGGCTCCGGGGCCCAAAAAACGTCCACGGTCGGCAAAGCCAAAGCCTGCTGCGAAAGTCGCAGCCAGACGAGTGAAGTGATTTCTGAGTTCTGCGCTGAAAGCAGACATTTTGGTCTAGATTTGGGTGGCAGTTCCTGCACTGCCTTACGCACATATCAAGCTTGCGCTTTCTGATGTAGCAGTGCCCGATGATGATGTGCGATGCCGTTCCCGAAAAATGTGGTGTCACAATGCTGCAAATGACTGATCGGTATCCCGAACACTGTACTCGAAGATTTCTGCTTAATCTGCAGCCAGGTCCGGGTGCAATCGGCCGCAATCTCGCTGAACAGATTGGCCACGGAGTCCCGTTGTTGTTGAAATCCCTGTAAGCCTATACTATAAACCCTGCATGAGTAAGCCCTCGAAACCGTAAGCTTTATAAGACCCTCCGTAATAATTTTTCTTATAGTCTAAAACCATCCGATTCCACATTCCCATTATTCATCCCTGGAGGTGAGCTGTCGGCGAGTTCTAGACACTGCGAGGGCGGTTGTCCAAAGAGATCAATCACGGGGGATTTCGACTGATGATCCTGTGGTTGAGAGGCTAGCAAAAGCTCGTAAAGAACACTCCGTTTCCTAGTTGCAATTATAAATGTTGTAAACCATTAGTCTACTCTGGAGATATGCTAAGCGATTAGGTTGTGATCGTTCACCTGAGGCCAGAGATGCTTATCGTACCGTATTCAAGCATAAGCTGGGACTGAACGTTCGCATCACGAAGAGTGAATGTGGGGGCAACGGACAGCTGGTTGAATGGATTCGGCCATCAGACTTCTTAAAGTTTATGGACGGGAATTCCAAGCTTCAGTTGGTTCTTGGGGCCCCTACTTTAGCAGAAGCTGCACCAGGCCTGGAACTGTTCTGGAAGCGATACGAAGGTATCAATCCATCACATGAAGTGTTTGAGAGAGCCAGGCAAGGACGATTGATCCTGAACCAAACCGTTCCTTTCTACTTCCATGCTGACGAAGGCCGAACTCTGAAGAAAAAACCGGTGTTTATCATCCAATGGCAGCCGTGCTGCGGCAAAGGAGTCGGAAAGAAGAACAGTGATGACCTGATCAAGGCTCGGCTTGAGGAGCTACGCTTACAGCCGAATTTCAAGGGGCATACCTTCGTGACGAGGTTTTTGGCTGGCTTGCTGATGGGTTCGAGCTACGCTGACGAGCCTGCAGTTCTGAGTGATCTTATTGAATGCATCTGCTTGGATATGAAAGACCTCGGCGACAATGGTATTCAGCTCTCTGAGGGGCACATGTGGTTGTGCCCGATTGGCAACAAAGGTGACTGGAGCTATCTAGTCCAGGTGGCAAACTTGACACGATCATACCGCAGTGCCCCAAAGCGTGCCTCCTCGAAGGCGCCGAACAAATGCATATGCCATCTCTGTATGGCCGGTGCAGCAGCTTTCCCATATGAAGACATGTGCTTTGCTTGGAATCAATATACTCGCTAAGCATTTAGTATGGTTTTATAGACATTTAGTATACAGGATTAAAGTAGCTTCTTAAAGATCCATATATTATATGTAATGAAGAGCGACCAGGACTGAGAGTGCAAGATTTCTTCAAACGATGCCTGTGCTGACTATGCCGTGGACTACGGAAGCCGCGTTTACAAGACTGCTACTTCATGACCCAGGAAACAAGCCTGCATTTCACAAGGTGGACGTGTGGCACAATGTGCAATTGGGACAGGGGAAGGCCTTTTGTGCATCGGCTATGATATCTCTCCTCTCGTACTTCGACGGCTCGAATACTGAAACGAGGTTTTCCAGTATGTTTGCTGAGTTCAAGAATTTCTGCAAGGCTAGGCAGTTATAGCATCAATATCTTCTTACAGAACTGTACTCTTCGCTGATATATCGTATTAAACCACAGGAACTTGCCGTCCCATACCAGGCCATCGGCGAACAGACCTACCTGCAAAAGTTTTCGCCTGACACCGTGGGCTGCGCACAGTCCATGCTGGATGTGCCAGATGGTCACTGGCACAAAGGATCATGCACCACGAATATTATGCGGTTCATCGAGTACTGGTGCGAGCAGAACAAAGAGCTGGGGGTCGAAGACGAAAACTTTCAACTCATTGTGACTTGACCTCGACCAAAACATGTTGATTGGGTGTAAGTCATTTATTGATTAATTATTTACAATCGAGTTTCGACTACGTAAGGCAGCTGCGGCCAAGGCTATGAATGCAGCGCTGAGTGAAATGTATACGGGTGATATGTGGCTGTCACCGGTCGAAGCGACGAGGATCGGCAACCGAGGCTTTTACTTTCTCCGTGCATACGCCAAACTGGCATACAATTACAATCGCTTGGGCTTGACTCGCTTTCCACTGTATCCAAAAGCCCATATGTTGTACCATACCTTCCATGGAATTCTGCTGCCCGCGAGGCAGCAGAAACATGCCTTGAACCCAGTTTGCGAAGCGTGCGCACAGGACGAGGACTTTGTGGGTCGTGTCAGTCGCATCAGTCGTCGTTGCGGCACAAGGGCCATACAGCCAAGTGCATTGCGACGATATTTGATCCACTGCCGAACGGTATGGATGCATGAGCTGTACTGAGCATGCAAAAAGAGGGCTTGGGCCCAAGCACTTGAGTTTCTGAGACATGTACACATAGAGTAGCGAGTTTACCATAGATTATTGACATTGGCCCGAATTTCTGGGAATTTACCCTATTCTA